TTCTTCCGGTGTCTGCTGTGTCTGTGTCGCTGCGAATATTCAATGAGCGCGTACATTGTGTGTCACCAGCTTATTCACACAATCGGCAAATTCTAGCACTAACACCTTCCCTCTCACGTTCCTTCCGGTGTCTGCCGTGTCTGTGTCGCTGCGAATATTCAATGAGTGCGCACATCGTGGGTGACCAGCGTACTGACAAAACCCATGCGTTTGCCCGCTGCTCGCCGTTTTGTTGCTCGAGTACCCCTGCCACCCAGGAATGTGTGTCCAATCATGTGGTACGCGTAGTCCGTTTTTCATCATGCAAAAATAGCATGCTATCGTACAGTTGTTTTCCAGTACATGTGAGTGTATCGGGTACGCCACGCCATTGCATGGGCGAGAGTTTCTCCTACGTTCGAAGAACGTCGCGGGATTAGCATGTATTGCTGTAAACACCTTCTGGATGTCTTCAGCAAGGGGGGATCTCCCGCGGCGAAATATCACTTTTCCAACTCCGTGAATTGTTGCCTTCCGAGTGTGGGAGGTTATGATGAGTCTCGTTGGACAGGGAGTAGCAGCTGAGCCTTGGTGCGGGAGATCAGGAACAACAGCCACCGTCACAGGAAGCGAAGTGCCCATGAAAATGTCGCGTGTTAATAAGTAACCAGTTTGCTGTAGATATCAAGTATTTGCGTCTTGCTCCATCAAGACCACTTGTTCCTCGTGCCGAAAGCCGTAGGACCGTCACGACGTTAAACGTTTGTTGCGTGGTTTCGCATCGACAATATAAATGGACCGAACAGGCCATATTCGCCTCTCCACCAGATTGTCGCCGAGTGCATTCAAATTTTGACTCTTTGGTGTGGGAGTGTACAAACCCTAACCCTAAGCTATCCCCCGAACTGGTGTAGAGTGGCGATTGGATGCCTACATTGCACCGTCACATCTGCCCTACCCGGAACTAGCTTCCCAGCGTACTCGCCACACGTATTAGCTTCCCAGCACACTCACCGCACCACCGCGTGTACCGTCGTCCGCCCGTGAAACTCGGAGTATCTCCCTTTAGGTTTCACCTTCCGAAGACTAAAGCAGAAGGCTAAAGCTTCAGGGACAGGAGTTGTCGAGACCGTTACTGACAGGTGCACGGCAGCAACCAGAACTGGAGGACATGGCGCGGCAGGAGCTAGAACGTTGTCCTCAATGGAGGCCGTCTTCGTTGCACCCCGGGACTCATTTGTTGCGTTGATGTCAAGTGGGGGGAAGCAGTTTTCCCGTCCTTCGTATGCTTATTCGCATCGTTGATGTCATGGTGGGGGGAAGCAGTTTTCTGGTGTTGTTATTTGGATGAAGTCTGGGTGTCTCTGGTGAATTCGGTGCTATCGGAGGATGAGGTTTCTTGAAGTTCAGTCGTGGTGATAGGGTTCACTTTTGTTAGCTTGTGTCTTTGCTCCTACTCGGTAGGCGGTACCGAGTCGATGTTTGATTGGTGCGTCCATTGTGTGGAAGCGTGCATGCGTGGACTTGGTAGGTCCTGTAGGACTTGGTCGCAATCGCTGTCATGATTGTGATAACACTTAGACTATAGCCGGTGGCGGAGTGTCGGTCTATTCCACTGGCATGGAGATCGCTCTCCATACCAATGACTTCACGAGAGGGTTTTGTCGAACGTTTGTCTCTCAGAGAAAAGATAGAGACGATATGGCGGCGTGAAGTATCGGGTGGATAGTTCCCTTTCGAGGCATATCGGTTGATGGAGAACCTCGCGGTTCTGCCATTCCTCTGGTTAAAAGTACCGGATGAGGCGTTAGTATATTATGAGTTGATACTATACTAGGAGGGATGTTACGGTTCGGGGTATTCATTTTNCGGGTGGATAGTTCCCTTTCGAGGCATATCGGTTGATGGAGAACCTCGCGGTTCTGCCATTCCTCTGGTTAAAAGTACCGGATGAGGCGTTAGTATATTATGAGTTGATACTATACTAGGAGGGATGTTACGGTTCGGGGTATTCATTTTTCCGCAAGTACACCCCCACAGAGGTAGTTGGCCGCGTTCAGCGGAGCCTCTGCAAGAGCTGTCTGGACTCGCCCTCCTCTGCTCACAACCAAGCTACCATCCTGAGCTTGAACTAAAAGGATAAGGCCATAACATCCACAAGGAGGCCTTTGCTCCGACACTACATCGGCCACTACAGCTGGTGCGAGTATTTTCACTACTCATCGCACTCGGTACAGTCGTTCGATTGCACAAAGAGAGGTCAGTGTGTGTGCATCGCTGCATGAGCGAATACCTATCGGGAGCAATACTTTCTCGCGCCAGAAACCGCGCCATGGACGGGAGCCATACGTACTTACTGATTACACACTTTAGACGTCTACCGTTGCGTGTTAACGACTCGTTACAAAGCATTGAGCCCGGCCAAAACAAGCGGTGCCTAAAGGTGGGCACCATCTGTACATGTAGACCACAAAAAAAAAAAAAAACGAACCCAGAAACAACACCTCAAACGCGGAAATAGTATAGAGCACACAGAACAAAAATTACCTGGGAGATGATCGAACCACGCCGGAAACTGAAGAGGAGAGAGATACCAACGAAAAAGAACCAGGAAACCGGATGCGTCCTGTAATTCGACAGTTCAGCATATTCATTCTTGCATTTTGTCGGACTCCTGTGCCTACGATCGTCCAGATTTCATTAACAAAACGCCGCCTTTCTGGCTTTGTCGTTTGATATTTACACCACCGGTGCTTACCCGCCGCGCCCAATTGGCGTCAATATGGGAAACTGTTGTGCCTGAGCTTTTTTACACCTGGTGTGGTACAGCCGTGAACATTCTAAAGTGGTAGTCTGTGCATGCGGTGCCATACCCACTCGACATGTTCTTCACCTCCTCATGGAACTTCGACAAACGACCCCTTAGATCTAGCACATCAACGATCTAGCAAAAAAGTCGACGACCAATGTCTAGGGTTAAACGCTGTCAGCATCACCATACATCGATGAATCTTTGGACATGTGAGAGCCTTCAAAGGCTTCGAAGAACCCTAACCTCCCTTCGAAGACATCGACTACACGTCAAGGGAGCTTGCAGCCACCCGCCCCGTCGTACCGGCCCGCATTCCTTTCGAGATGGGCGTAAAGCTGATGCTTTTGTTCCTGCAAGTGTCGGGGCACCACCTCGTAGACGTCCTCGAACATGCTCCCCAAGCTTGGTTTGGCCTTGCGTTCGGCCGTTTCGAGCGCCTGCGTACAGATAGTCCAGACTGACGTCTTCAGAGGAAAATCGAAACATGGCAGGATCCCGACGTTCAAGTCGACCCCATCGAGCGGAGTCTGGCAGGCCTCGTCGCGCATGGGGAGGGTCTGTTGAAGCATTGTAGAATCAAAAAACATGGTTTCAACGCACCCGGTGCTTTTGAGGCCGGCACATCTCAGAGGACTACCGTATCTGGCGACAACAACAGGTAGGTATACCGCGCCGACCAAGGATGGATGCGGCACACTTGATCAGCCCGGTGTCACCAAAAACAACTCGGGTATGATGGATGGAGGGCACGGAGGGCAGCCATGTACACTGAACACGCGGTACTACTTCCATATCAACGTGCAAGACTGCCCCTGCATGCCATATCATATGAGCGAAAACACCTCTACCCAGCAGGCACTTCAATTGTATGTACTGTAAATGCTGCCTTCCTAACACGCAACACAACAAACGACTCACATTGTTGCGAGTGAAGAATTAAGAAGCAAGACAGCAAAACGCCGCCCAATATATTGGACCGTCCGTACAGACGTAACAGATGGAGCCGACCGGCAAATTCAAAGTGCAGCAAGCTCGCACCAGAAGGCCACGTACATATGTACGTAGGGTTGAGAATATGTGGCGCAAGACCGGAGTTGCAAGCAGACGACCACAGGACCAGCTAGAAAACCGCCACGACCCGCCACGAAGCTGCAACGATGCGGCCAAAACTTGGGGTGCAGACTACTGTGGTCACCCCAACGTGTACCTCGCTCACATAGAGAACTCACAAGCAGGAGAACTCACAATTAGCACCGACCGCCTTTCCCTGTCCCTCAGGACTCGGTCTTTCGCGGAATCCCACCAGCCCTTACCCTCCAAGTACGAATAAAACCGTCGAATCGGATGGTGGTTCGCCTTCCATTGCTTCACCTGGAAGGAAGAACGACAGCGTAAGGAGACGCATCTGGGCCAGCCTAGCCTAGCCTAACGTACCCGTCGACCGAACAGCTGTAGCGGACGAGGTGAGACTTGGAAGTCTCGCTCAGATCAACCAGGAAAACCGAGGGTTGTATGCGTCACACATATCTCTTACCCCTTTCGATGTCCCTTACAAAACCTGGTTTTCAGATTGCTTAAGTCACCACTCGTTTCGCAGAGCACCACAACTGCGAGCAAAAGACGAGATATGCAACACGCATCCGAAGAGTGATTGGGTGCTGATAAAGGCGGAAGGCCCGTCAACGACAAGAAGAAGGGTATCACCCACCTCCGCCGGTCTGTGCACCCGGCCCATAAAAACGATGCGCGTCCCAGCACGCCACAAACGTACGTCTTTTCCATGCAGTGGGGTTTTGAGGTACCGTGCAGTCCATGCATACCTCGTTCGAGCTCCGATAGCGGCTCCAGTCGTCCGACGTCGAATGATGCCCCAGGCGGTAGGTCATGGCCTCCATCAAGACCGGCTTCTTCTGTGACAGGCAAATCCTCCGAGCCTCGGCCGTTGCGGCAAACATCGCCAGAGCATCGTTGCCGTCGACCCTTACGGCGTGCATACCATAGCCCGGGGCGCGAGAGACGATGCCATCACCTCGGTATTGGTCTGCAACTGAAGTGCTGCGCGAGGGGTAGCCATCAAACGGGGAGCAAGAGCATATTGCGCAGCCGGAGAAGTGCGTGGAACCGTGCGGCCTTACTGTCTCATTTCGGAAGAGCCGAAACAACGCAATCACGTTTAATATTTTTCAAATCTTGAGGTCTAACATAGAACAGACCCACGCGCGCACGCAGTCCTATAACAGCGTGTGATGTAGATACAAAGCCCGAACCCAACAGTGGACAGACAAGGGTGACGTGGAAGAAAAAAGTACGATATCCCTTTCGCCGTCGCTGTGTCGTTTGTCCTGCCTGGGAAGAGCAACAACCGAGAACGACTACACGTGGACAGCAAGACACGAATTTGTCATCACCTCCCAGAACGACATCACTACACCACACATCGAAAGCCCATCGCGACCCAAACAATCGTCTACCCCAGTGCTCGCTGGCGGGTGCAACTGCTGTCTGTCACTCCCATCTGTGATACCACACAACAAAAACAAACCTCGCGACCCTCAGCAAACAAAAACGAAAATATTCTCAGCTCGGTCGAAACGAAATACTTCGTAGCTGTTGAGGAAAGGATGCGTTCCATCAACATGTCAGTGCATCGTCCGCTTGCGCACCTGATGGCATAACCGTTGTTTCGGCAAACAAAGAGCACGGGCACGTCCCTCGTGGCCGCCAGGGCAAGAGCCGCGTGAAAGTCGCCCTCGCTGGCCGCCCCGTCGCCAAAGTAGCAGACCGCGATGTTGTCCTTGCCAGACAGCTTCAAGGCATACCCCGCGCCCACCGCTTGAGGAATCTGGGTTCCTAGCGGCGACGAGACTGTCTGCAAATGCAGAGCAGAAAAAACAGTACTTGTCAAAACGTTGGTTCGCTGGTACCTACAACGTGTGGAGGCTACGGGTGATCCTGGGGGAGCATGGAATCGTGCAGCTGCATTGAAGGAGGTTGAATATTGAGAAAGATAAAACAGCGGTGGGGATCGCAGGCGTAAAGCTATAGTAGGCACAGACTAAAGGTACATACAAAGGCAAGAGGTAGTATCTTGCTCATTTCTCAGATCTCCGCGAACAAGGCCGTACAACCTGCTGCCGCCTGGAAAAATCGCCCCTACACGGACTCCAGAACGACCTCGCCACAAAACTATCCACGACGTTAGCCGGATCCACTTAGCGCCAAGATTTACGTGCAACGACTCAGAAGGGTACACGAAAACGAGCTGGCTTCGATGCGAAACCACAATGTATGCAGACCTGAAACCACACTCACCTGGTAGTGCAACTCTTTGGAGCCATAGTGGACTGGCATCTGGCGACCTGAAAAAAATCGCAGTACAACAGTCTTCGTCAGAGGAAAAACACGTGGTTGTCGACACAAGAAAAAAAAAAAGTTTCAACGACACGGGTTCAATGCCACATGACAGCACATCGAGGGTGTTACTCCCGAAAGGCATGTACAGGGTGTAACGTGGCTATGGACGGACTGCGTGACTCGCGACTAGATCGGCCCCGTTTGTGGCCAAGACCCTAGGAGTTTCCCAACGTGGAAAGCCCGACACACCGTCACCGAGCTACTGTCGAAACAACTTACCAAATGTTCCCTTGTTGCTAGTTTATGCTCGCGAAGACGACTTACTCTTGCCAGGTACTTTTCGTTCCACGAAACAGTACCCCAAGCAACACCAACGCTACCGTACTCGGCAGCTACACCCGAATGCTCCCAGTCGGTGGAGTTCCTGCGGCACTGACTGTACCTTTGCCGAGGTCGCTGATGTTACTCAAGCACTGGTCCGCAAAGCTCTGAAAAAAGTATTGAATGCGGACGTCGGAGGGGATGTCCAAGCACACGGTTAAGGTGTGACGCGAGTGTTGGCTGTGGTTGGCATCGTGTGACAATGATGGGCAGCGTATTAAGACATCGACCGAACCATCAAGCAAACCCAAGACAAGTACAGCACTTGTGTGTCTGGCTTTCTGGCGCTTCGGCGAAAAAAGGAGTTCGCGTTGAATGCCGTTTCCGGTATTTCTTTGTGTTGCAGTGACCTACAGGATACCACCATGCCTCTTTGACCCCAGAAAGTTTGTCAGCATCTCCCATGGAACGGTTTTTGCCTCTCAGGCTACTACCTCAACACTAGTGTGACGCGGGTAGCATCGCATCCCAAGTGTCAGGACCTTCTTATCAAACGTGTTTCACCCCGAGCACGGAACGACACAGAACGCTCTTCATCGCCCCCCTGCTTCCTCAAGGCTGAAACAACTCAACGATGTTTCGTTGTCCAAGGGCTGGCCCCCACTACCCATCTGCTCTGCACGCAAGCTCATGAGAGTTTTGAAGAAGTGGCATTGACCACCCCCAATACCTCAAACGACGCTTGTCACCCGCATACCATGGTATCAATTTTACAGTGTTCCGACAAAACACCACCTGAATGCCGAAGTCCCGCCACATTAGGAGGCCCGGCTCCCGGTATTGCGTGAAAGCCATGTCATTCATGTCCAACGCCGCCGCTCCTCCCATCTGAAGGGCCTCTTCGCCGGCCGACTGCAGGTAAAACGAGATCCGGCCCTACACGATTGTTGGTGGGTAAAAGAGAAGTGAGCTTAGGGTGTGGGTTAGGGTGAACGTTTCACTTACTGAAGATCTTGTCTTGCTACGACAGACCATTTTCGGCAGAACCATGCGCAACCCTGAACGGTACTAAGGTTGAGGGGAAGATTGCAACGCAGGGGGCAAGATCAACATTTACTTTACTCCTCTCGGGGATAGAAAGTTTCTTGACGCTGAAGACAGTTGTGGGGCGCACGTATATGCGAACCAGAAAAAAAATCCGTCCCGAATAACAGAAGGCCAGACACAGAGCAAATGGGTTACCGTGCCGAGCTGTGCTGCTGTGCGACGCTGTGCCGTGCGGTTCAGCTAGTCGCTTAGGCCGCACGCGACCAACGGTTCGCAGTACGAGCGAAACTACACAATCAAACGTAGCGACTCGGACCGAGTTGCTTTGCCACGGGTACCATCCAATCACTACTTTGTTTACATTTCCCGGTACTGTGTTTGTGTGTGCCGTGCGTGCACCTGTCATATGATGCTGCCGACCAAGAGATGCACGTATGCATGTAGTCTACATGTAGGTCTTTCTGGGTCTCCTTTGGAATATCTCCTACATGGCACTCCTACAAGGAAACCGAACCGTCACGATTGACACGGTAATATCCACTCCATGACCCTGACAGAACTGTTCCAATGCTCGAATCAGAGCCGAGCACCTCCTGTTGAGGAACGCGTGACCTGAGTGTGAGTGGGTGATCGATGTGGAGTGTGTCCAGAAAAATTGTCAGGAGCCAGCAAGCAGTACAATGTGGTGTGCCTCCTCTTTCGTATTCTTCGGGCGCGACGGACATACGAGCCATGTATGTAGAAAAGTTGCAGTAGATATTTGCCTTCAGTTCGATGGCTCATGATTAGAAAGAGGTTGTTCGCAACGCAATGTGGTGGAACTGCACGGACGACGCGTGAGTGCCTACATGTACACGTCTGAACGACGTTGCCTGACCAGACAAGAAAGGGGCAAACGGTCACGCGCGTGACGTCACACTGTATTACTTGTGAAGGGAGTCAAAAAACGACCAGAGAGAGGTAGTCCGGTCTTCCGCAAGCCGTTACATACAGTTAATGTAATTCGGCTCTTGTTTTTGCGTCTAAACGTAGACTTTCTATCTTTGGTTGCCACCTACCGCAGTATTGTGATATATCAACGCGACGAGTATCGTCGGCGTTGCCTGTCTGATTTTTTTCTTTTTGCAGTTCGCTGTATTTTTTTCGTAAATACAGTTGATTATGCACACACTTTCCCCCTCCTCGGCCTGCTCCCCGGCCGGGGCCGAAATCGACCTAGTGAGTCCCTCGCGGGCGAACCAGGACACAACAGATAGTAGGCGGGTGGTGTCCCAAGGTGCAACTCACCGCCGCGCTGGCTCAGCGTGGCGGTGAGGATGCACAGACGGTGGTAGTGGCGAGAGGTGTGTATAATGCAAAGCGGCAAACTGTACCTGGCAACCACCGTCGCGGAAAGCGTGGCCCACGAAGCTGGAGGAGTAGAGAGATTCGTAAACACCACGTCAGTAAGCACCGCTCGCGGGAGAAGGGAGACGACCGCGGGCACCGCGGGGAGGGAGTGCTGCACCCTCCTCGTCAAAACACCACAGGCAAGAACCGAGCTCTGCAGAGATGGATTGATGCGAGGAAACTCGCTGCTCGGAAGATACGGAAGAAAGCACACCCGCAACGCGAGGTGGACCGAGAGAGACACGAGACCGCCGCGGCCGTCAAGGCGGTTGGGAAGAAGAAGGCACGAGAGGGCGACCTATGTTTCGGCATGTTCAACGTACGCACGCTCGCCTACAGCGGTAGGAACCCCGTCGGTCACAACGTGAT